GTGTATGTGTGTGTGCGTGTGTGCATTCTCTCGTAGACATATTTATACGCAACCTTGCTCCCATGGGAGACCCTGCCTGTTTGAGTTATTTCAGAGTTCGTGGTTAAACAAGATAGCCTGAGGAATCTCTCTTGTCTCTCTGTTTTCTTTGACTGGGCTGAAGGGAACGGGGAGGCAACCAGGGAGGATTTCTAGAAGGTGCATTTGCGGCTGTTTGATTTTCTAGACTGAGGAGCTTATAAAAAGCAAACCTGCAGGAGTTTCAAGCTCTACTGAGAACTAGTAACCCTTCAATTTGACATTTACAAACAAGTTATATTAAATGTCCTTTCACTAGCTAATATAAGAGATAATATGATGCTTTGAATGTTCTGAAAATCTCAGACACAAAATAATCCAATCGTGTGCCTTCCAGTGTGAAAACAGTAGAGAAAAAATGTTTTGAAGCGTGAGTAGAAGATAGTAGACATGTACAAGATTGGATTCATTGGTGTGATATTGTTTTAACTGTATTATTGTATGTTTGTGTGTTTGTTACAGACTGAATGTGACCTGGAAAAAGGTTTAGAGATGAGGAAGTGGGTCCTCTCTGGGATCTTGGCCACTGAGGAAACATACCTCAGTCACCTGGAGGCACTATTGCTGGTGAGAACATACATCACACACACACACACATCTACATATACCCATAGTATACAGTATTATTATAGGTAGGCCGATTGATTAAGCAAATTGAGTAGTTCAACTTTATTTTGACATAAGTCTGAAATTACTGATTGACGTGCCGCCAGATGCATCTGCAAAATGTGAATGAAACATGGAAAACGAGAATTTACTGGCTGGCTTTTGCTGTAAACTACAAAACAATCAAAGTTTTATAAACAACTGTACTCTAAACCAAATATTATGATAAATAAGTAAAACCAAACAAACTAAGAAAGAGACAATAAACATTCTAAGGTTGGATGATATGACAGTATAGCATGAGACAGCAATTTGTCAGCCCGCTTTTACAATGGTAGCTTTCCCCTTAATTCCTTTGTTGTATTAGGCCAGTGCAAGTTTCCAGCTGCAGCAAGTGGCTGTTTTTCTTGAAAAATGGCTATTAAACCACTGTATAAAGTTAGCAACTAGCTGGTGAACATAGTGGAGTATTTATCACCTGAAGAGCCAAATTTATGCTCTGTGTGTGCTGGATGTGTAAATAAACAGCAATTTGCTAACATGTTCACCATAAGAACCTGACTTATTGCTTTTTTTATGACAAAACCATTTCAATGTCATTTGACAAGTCGAGCAAGTAGAAAAAAGTCACAAAGGCAGAAAACTAACAAAGGAAAATCGATCTAAAGTTATTAGATTGTATTACTAGTACTAGTATTGTGAGTACTTACTTTAAGGCCTTACTTTGCAGATACTTATCAGACTTTTGGATCTCTAAAACTGTAAAACATTTTTTAAAATGGATGTACAAGTGCTTACAGTTCACTTACAAGTGTTTCCTCCACTGCTCCGCTCAGCCCATGAAGCCTCTGAAGGCCGCAGCTACGACGTCGCAGCCTGTGCTCACCGTTGCCCAGATAGAAACGATCTTCTTCAAAGTGCCTGAGCTCTACGAGATCCACAGGGAGTTCTACGACGGACTGTTGCCCCGCGTCCAGCAGTGGAGCCACCACCAGAGAGTCGGGGACCTCTTCCAGAAACTGGTGAGGAAAAAGAAAGCGTTGGGGAAGGGTTGACAGTATCAGGAAAGACATTCATGCTGCAGCTACATTTCCTGACCTTATGGACATAGATCCAAAGCAGAACCACTGTGTGAGAGTGACATTACTCACAGTAATGTTGTTTCTTGAATTGGGAGGCTTTCAGAAGCGGAGTCAGTCGGTATAATTCAATGAACCAATAAAACAAAATGTAGATGCTCGTCTTTATCATTCTAAAAGTGGACAAAATGACCCTGCATTGTCCTTTTCTTCCTATTTCCTTCCCTCAACAGCTGCTCTCTCTCTCTCTCTC